ACTGGTTCCAATCCTGCTAGTTACATCTTATATATCTCCCCGTCTTTTGCATTATTGATCCTAATTACCCAAAATAATTATTTTGAGCAACCCTTTGATCTTGAATTATTGTCACTATATTAGAATTTTGTTGAATTTAAATTCTTTATATTCTATTTAATTCACCAAAAATAATTATTTTGAGCAACCGTTTGATCTTGAATTATTGTCACTATTATAATTTTGTTGAATTTCCATTCTTTATATTCTATTTAATTCTACTAATCTTTAAATCATTTGTTTGCGATGTATTCTCCAAGTTCCATTTTTATTGCTAGTTCTCCTCCTACAAAGTATCTAACAAAACTTGCCATTAGCAAAAACATGCAGTAATGAAAGTCACATTATTTCATTTAAGACTACGGTGAACAGATTTGGACTTAGTATCGATCCTTTGTGTGATAGTACCTCTATTTTGAAAAAAAATTTATACACAAGGTACAAACTCAAATCCTTGAAACTCTATGCATACACTCAGCTTAACTGAATAAAGCCTTTTTTTTCCAACTACTTGGAGTCAGTTACATAAATCATGTTTTTCCATTGCGGGCTTCTATACATATTCTGGATAAATCTAATAAATTAATAGGAATTCATTTTCTTTGTAGAGGGCCCCACATAATATTTCACGGTACTGTATGATATGCCTTTTCTAAGTTAATAATATTTTTCTTTTTACTGATACAATCTTCTTCCATCACCTGTCTTATTAGAATTAAATTCGCAGGAATTCCCTGGATCTTTCTACAACAAGAAGCAAACTTTTGACCCACACAACATCATCACTAGAGCATGCCAAAGGCTCATTTTACGAAGCATTGACATGAGTATAACACGACATATATACGTCTATATGCTGAATCCGAAAAAATAGAGACAAACAGTGAGGCATAGCAACAAAGGAACTTTTCAGTGTTCTTTACTACGTAACAAAGGTGAAATCTAATTACACAAATAAACAGGTGTTGAAATTCTATATCCTTATTTAAAGAAATACTATCTCCATAGTTCAAATAATCTGTCTCCTTGCCTTCAGCTTAAGCGTGACTGTGAGCACGAGATTTGCTGAACCCCGTTGGTTGGTTGAAGAGGAATGGTAAGCATGGAACTTGAAAAGGAAACCTTTGTCGAAATTGGATGCTATCTATACTGGATTTTAGCGGTCATAATGGAATTTCAGATAACAGAGAATGCCCCCCAACAAGACTTTACAATATCATTCGAAAAGCAGTTAATAGCCAAAGAACTAGTTGCAAAATGCCGTAAGGGTGCCCATAAAATTCTGAGTCCGGAAGAAAGAAACATCGTAAAACAGCTCCAAGAGGTCATAAAACACGGGGAACACCTGAATTTAATACCATCATAATCATGTGGAGAGCAAGAATATTCATACGTTGCAGTCACTCTCTTCTTAGGAGCTTAAACCATCAGAACAAAAGGAGCTTAAACCACATATTTTGCCTTCAGGAAGAACCAGCTCCTAGATCTCAACTCTATAAATATTGAAGCCTCCTCGGAGAATCCTCAGTTATCGGATATATTACATCTATCTGATTGAATTCCTAGGAAGCACAAATAGCACAGGCCGAAGCACAAACAGAACTCCTTTATTGTGTTTTTACATTTAGGTTTTGGAATCCTGTTTAATTTGTTAAAAAGAAGAAGACAACTCTTATTTTGTTTATTAGTTTGTATCAAAGACTTTTATTTTGTAAATTCTACAATTTAATTGGGATTTTTGTCTTTTTGTTAGCAGTCATCCTTCAGATAACAAAGGTTAGTAAACCATCAGTCGACAAAGTAAACCATCAGTCAACTAACAGTTTGGGTTAAAAATAGGAGTGATCCTTAATTAATTTTTAAAATGGACCGATGTAAAAACACATGCAAAACTGTGGGACTGAAGTCAAAATTAATCTGTTAATATATTATAAAGATTATATAATACACAATTACTGTATAATATGTAAATTTAATATCCTATCATTGTATTAAAGTTGTAATATATCAATTATAATAATCAATGATACCTCATATAGCAGTGACGTATACATGTATTGTGTGTATACGAGGATAGCATATACACATACCTATATTACATCAACACTTTTAAAATGCGTCAATATTCGTGTCAGGCACACAACACTCAAAATATATATTGAACATGTTTCCGACAAGTTTGATTGATCATACACCTAACAAGCATATCCAATAATTCAACTTTATCATACAATAATATATCCATAAAACTCTTTTACTATGTTCCTTTAATTACACTTGCTTCAAAACGAGTGAAGTACCTATTTTTTTACCATTCTAGGCTATATTGTTCTTGGAAATAAAAGAAGAATATTAATCAATTTGAATATTTAGCCGTGTCCCATATCCTTAGGTTTGTGGAATTGATAAATCCTTTACTTAGACACATACTTGATATATGTACCCTAGTCCATGTAACATAGGTACATAAATAATATGATGACTTTTCTCCAACTCATATTTCCACTTCGTTGATAAAATATTCCTATATTTTACCTCTGTTTTTTCTTTATTCTGTAAAGCTTTTTATAAATTTTATAGAAACCTTCAACTTGTTTTAATCTATCACTATAAACTTTTTTTCCTTCTAAAAGATAGTAATACCAACGCTGAAGGCTCACAGGTCACATGTTGGTAACTATAAGAAGTGTTGGCATGTATATGGAAGAATTTTACTTTTAAATAAAGGACTTCAAGATGTGACCAACATGCATTTTAAGAGTTTCAAGAAGTATGCAACACGTGTAGCACGGACGCAACTCCTATTGACTTTTTTTAATGCTTTTAGGCTCACTGTTTTAATACTGAATTGTTCATTAGCAAATCAAAAAATCATAATTGAAAAATATCTTGCTCCATTTAGTAGGTTCCACCTCACCTTTACGGAGGCAACCTGTTACATTGTTTGTTAACCAACCATAGCATCAAAATGATCCTATCAGGTTAAACATGTATTTTTGTAAAAATCTCCTTAGGAATGAATTTCATGGGTTATATGCCGTGTGCTAGATGGCTGTAGTGTTTTGGGCTTTGCACAGACTCAGCTGAAGAAGATGATGATTATAATGACAGTGAAGTTTGTAAATCCAAAAACTATGAAGCATGGAACACAAAGAAAAATATATATATATATATATATATATATAGAATACTAGCAATACTGAACAGTAGAATACTGGTGGTACTAGAATACCATCAAGATTTTTGATAATTTATTAATTGATTCTTTTTTATATTTATACATCTTTCCATGCTTAAAGATGATCCCAATGTTCAATGTTGTTTCTCATGTTTACTGAGCATCCATTAAGTTTTGATCCGTTTTCTAAATTAAGAATTTTATCTTTGAATAATGAACACATCCAGGATATGTCGAACACATTACAGGGAGTGTACAAGAATGTCAGTGTCAAACACGAACCAGATACAGACACAAGTCTTTCTTAAAAGTGTTTATATCCTTCGTACAAACCAGGGGGGTAGAAAGAGGGAAAAAAAAAAAAAAAAGAGGAGGATACAGAAGTTGCATCTAGCAACCAGATTCCACTTTTCAGCCTATTAACTTGTGACAGGTTTTAAGAGTATTTGAGGTACAATAGAGCCCTTCCCACCTTAAAACGGAGCCAAGAATCTGTTTCACTCCCCAAAATTTGTCCGTCTTTCATACCTAAGCAGTCTGCAGGCCCTGCACCACAACAACCCCCCCCCCCCCCCCCCCCCCCCGCGGCCACTTCCATCAAGAGTACTCAATACCCTGAAAATCCTTCCTTTTTTTTTTCCTTCACTTTTTGGTTTTTAATATGTCAAATCCTAGATCCTTATTTTGTAAGGAAGAAAGTCATTTATATCTCCTGAACAGTGCAGATGTATTCATTTATTTATTTATTTAGTTCATCATTTTACATGTGATAACAATGACATCAAACCAATTACTCTCTTATAAACTAGGAAGCATGGGTACAATACAACATGACACGCGTAGTGCCAAAACTACAAATCTAAAAAAAATAGAAATGGACATGGCCAGGACACAACAACAAAGAAATTTATTTTAAGTGTAAGTATTGTATTATCTATGGAAAATACGAAATTTATAACATTTATTATAATTTATAATCAATAATGGCCCCTGTTACATGGACAGTGACATAAAATGACATGATATCTAGGTTTATGGATGTACGCATACAACTGTAAATAGGTATAACAAATCTTTATGTACATGCGCAATTTTAATATCTTATCTCCTATTGACACTGTGTTAAGTATGATTTCTTTATTATTTTTTATTATTATTATGGCCTAAAGCTTGAAAAAAAATTTATATAAACCTTTAGTTTGACTTTCCTCAAAATTACACTTAATCCCCATGCAAATAACCACACAATGTCTAGAATTCATTAGACACGTGTTGACAATTGACGAGTGTAACAGAAGTGTCAACAAGTTGTTGAAAATTAAGATTCATACTTATATGTAGTCCCGACAATACTTCTACATTGGCTGTCTAGCTACTTGATGCAACCATCTTTTTTCCAGGCTTGGGACCCACTATGTGAAGATAAGGCACTAACACATCCTGAATAGTTTCGGAGAAGTGATAGTGTATGACTGTACTGTATCTCTTCCATAGCCCTACTTCTTAACTAGTGATAGTGTACAACACCTCCTCTTTACAAGTGCTTGTACTTCTTATAAAAAACTACACAAAATACATGTTTATCAGTTCAAATACTCTGTTCAAAGCAATAATAAGTCGAGACAAGCTGCAATTCAGTAGAACCTAGAAAGACAAGAATCATAATGTCCCCAGTCCTTGATTGACAAACTGTGGTCATTCCTAGACTAAAGACAGTAAAAGTAGGTTTATTGTAAAGAGAACGAAGAAAAATGGGCAATAAGGAAAACGTAGGTAAGCTTACCCTCCACACCAGAGTGAAAAATACCAAAGCCAGCCCAATAGACATAGCCATTCATAGGTGTCAAGTCATACACGTTGAGATAAACCGGTGTATTGCCTGGACCATAACCAGCTGGCTTCACTTTGGAGAACATACAAAAATGGGTAGCTGATTTGCCTTTCAAATAGGAAGGCACTATTGACTTCCATGTTTTCTTTGATCCAAATTCCATGTTGCTACTAACGATGAAACAAGAAGTCAGTCAAAGCCAGTCACAACCTGCATACGTGGAAAGAAATAGAAGAATAAGACATTTCATATAAAAAAATTATTATAACAATAACAAAAGGGGAAGCGAAAAAGCATAATGAAAAACAAAATGAACATATATTTACTCACAAAAGAATATAATTATAGATTGTTGATATTTGAATTTTCCCTTTGGCATCTCAAATTTCTCTATTTTCATAACTGCATTAGTTACAATGTAAAAGTCGAGTCAATTTCCTCATACATAATAATTAATTATGTAGGCCAGTTATATCTAAAAAATTTACTGATTATATATTATCAAATACAACTCAATGGTTGGAGCTATGATTCCATATGTTTGACATCCCAATAAATATATATCAACTTATCTCCACTGTTATGGAAGTGATTGAATCAGGATCATCCTGGCATTTTAGTATTTAAAACATTGAATATCATTTTGCAAGTAACTAAGAAGAATTTGAGTAGGGGAAGATGGATTTACTTTTTAAACAGCCGTCTATTCTACATAGTCTATAGTGCACGTTTCTCTCAGTTTTCTGAATGAATAATGACAACACTAAAACGGTGTTTCCCAGTAAAGGAAGAAGGGGGAAGGGAGAATCTGTTATAGAGCTAGACAGGTTCGGTAAAACCATAAAACAAGAAGCAAGACTGACAATGTATAATGGAATCACCAATCCAGATTGAATACAAAGTGATACTTTTCAAGTAGGATCATATGCACAAAGACAAGATGTTAAGAGAGCATAACAATAACGTGTTTGTTAGAAGTTCCCGGTTAAAAATGGTAGAGTTAACTAGAGAAATATAAACTTTTATATTTCAAGAAAAATAAAATTTTCCTATTTCATTTCTAGAGATAATGAGAAAAGGGGCAGGTGGATAAGTGTCATAGTCTGCAACAGTCAACTCATCAATTAGCAGAATTCCTCAAAACAGCCTACGGCATGATTCAATAATATCTTTTGTTCAAAGGGAACTTATGTAAATAAGATGCCTCATTAGCTAAGAAGAATCTTCGAAACCCATATCTCATGTTAACATGCCCATGAGCAAAAGCCACCTCTATTCTTCTGGAATGACAGTGTAGCTTTAAGAAGTTTCCTATACATACTGCCTTAAACAATTTAATTACACCCAAGATAATAAAGAAGTACTTTATTCACAGATAGCTGATGCTCCGTGGTCTTTTCTTTTTCATATACAAGAATGGATTCTTAACACCTTTGTATTACAAAGCAGACAACCACGTAAGTGGGGTTCAGTTTCTCTCTGAACAAGGGCCGTTTCCAGAAGCCAACTCTTCCTTTGAACAACTACTAAATAAATATACATCACGAACTTCCTCGATTGCAGTTGGCCTCTCTTAAATTAGTGTAATCATGTAATGTCTGTGGATAAACTAAGTCTAGCCATGCCCTTCTCCAACTACCATTCAGTCACCTCCAATCACCTGAAACTTAGTTAAACAACTCAAGTAAGCTGACTTTGATACTACTTGCATATTGGATAAACACCAGGAACCTTGTGTTAGAGGGCAAGCTTTGGCGCATCAGTAAGGTTGTTCCAATGTGACCTGACCTGGAGGTCAGGTGTTCAAAACAGGAATTAGTCTCTCCGCATACCGGGAGCCACTATTATAGTGACCCATCTTAGATCTAATTATATATAACCAGAATTTCAACCCCTAATTATAAGATTTTTTATATTTATTGGAAAAAAAAAATAGTACAACTAAAACTGGAGCAAGTAGTGGGAGGGACCAGGGAGGGAGATATACAACTCAAGTCAAAACCTCAATATAATGCTTACGCAAACTACTTGGGTTTGGCGAACAAAAAAACATTTAAAACAACTCCATGTACAATTACGATATGGGAAAAGAGAACAAGAATCTACAATTTCTATTGACCTCCACATGCTATGCACACTGCATAGATACTATAATTCCCTCTTTGCTCTCTTGTTTGAGGCCGAAGACCATTACTACAATACAATTCCTATAATTGTCGCCGCAAAACATAATGTCATTGCCATAACATACAATTATCAAGTTCAGACTGGGAAAATAGCTCCAAACCACGGATAATTTCAAAATTAATTTACCCAGCAATTTTTATCCCAAACCAAAATTTAAATTCTGCATTCTCAAGTGACAAAATTAGAGAATCCATCACCAATTAAGCTAAGATTTGCGCCCTTTTATTTGTCAAGAACATGAAAGAAACAAACATATTGAGTAATCAATAAAAGCGGAAAGTATAATTAATTACTTCGTACATTAGATCTTGTTAAAATTATTTCCAACAGAAAATATATATATATATATACACACATATATATTAATATATAGAGAGAGAGAACAAAACAATTAAGCTACTTTAACTAATGCTCCTACTACCCAATAATATAAAGAAAAAGGGGAAGAGAAAAGATAAAGTAGAAGTGCTTCGATATAGACTCAGAACACAAAAACTTGAGAAAAACAAGAAAAAGTAAGCTTGGTGTGTGTCTGTGTGTGATATATAGAGAGAGGACTCACAGATTTGGAGAGGATTGCCATTAGAGAAGAGAAGGTTAGCAATTTCGACCACTCGTTGGCTGACAAAACCCACGTAACAGCCTCATAGACACTGCAACTCCAGAAACCACAAGAACAAAATAAAGATGATGCCAAAATTCAACAAAGTTAAGGCAGACTGTCAATCTCTCTCCCTCTCTCCACTTTTTTACGGAATATCTTTTATTATTACTGTTAAGCAAAGTAAAACAGTGAATTCCTACGAAATCAAAAATCCTGTTTACTCCCTCTGTCTCAAAAACAACGCTCTCTTTTTGCGTTTTGAAAACTGGGACAGGAAAGAGTATTAAAGGAAAATAACAATTGAGCACATAATTTGTTGCTTTTAAAAAGACAAAAAAAAAAAATTATTATATTCCCAAAAAAAAAAAAAAAAGCACACGAGTATTGCAAATGGGATTTGGGTGTGCGTTGAATTGGGCATGTGCTTAAAAAAAAAAAAAAATCAAATAAAATAAAAATCAAATAAAATAAATTATACGGGAAAAATAAAGGCACATAGAATAGTAAAAGGAGAGAAAACCAAGATACATGTAAATAAAAATAAATAAAAAAATTTAGTATGTTATTTACATTTCAGTATACTATTATCATTACATTATTTTTTTAATATATAATAAAGATATTATAAATAAATCTTTTAAAATATATAATAAATATACTATAAATAAGTTTTTTAAATATTAATATTATTATACATTATATTATTTTTATTTGTAATAAGTTTTTTAATATTAATATTATTTTTAACCATTCTCTATCAACTACTGTATTATTAACTAAATTAATTAAAACATAACTCTATCAATTAAAAAGTCTTTTTGATGTAAACTAATGAGTGATTTATTTTTTACTAATTTATTTCCTTATCTAATTCCATTTTCCTTCTTAACATAAGCTCTTTTTATAAATAAATAAATAAAGTCTTTTGGAAGTAAACTAATTTACATAAACTAAATAAATAATTTACTTTTAAATAATTTATTTCCTTATCTAATTTCATTTCTTATAATTTTTCAATCCTCACTATAAAATTATTGTGTATTTTACACAACTATTTTATACAGCCACATCAACTCTCTTCCCACTTTCTTATTACATTAACGGATAAATCACATATTATTTCATTAAATAATCAAGCCTATATTAAGAAATTTGTAAAAATTATATGGGCTCAACACGTGATTAATTATTATTGAGATATACATTTTTATACAAAAAATATAAAACAATGACTGGAGTTAAAAATGAGTAATCCAAAATTTATATATAAATCTATTATAATACAGAACCGTTGGAGATGCTTAGATACTGAGATACGTAAGAAACTTCCTAAGTAAAATTTATAAGGTCAATTTTACACTTCTAATATCTAAAACAACATTTTTAACTTTATTTACCAATGTGGAGTACAAAATTACCATTAACTTATTAACTCAAAAGTACAATAATATCCTTCACTTAAATATGTATATAATATATACATATGTGTGTGTGAGAGAGAGAGAGAGAGAACAACCATAAACACCCAAAGTCAAAATCCAAATAAATAAAACCCAAATCGGGCCGCCATCACCAAATTAACTCTCTCTCTCAATCACAAACAACATCACTAGAAGAACCATCATCTGGACCATTTTCTAACGCCCGAGTAGATCAACCTGTTTAGTAGGCTAACGCACACCGGAAAGTCACGCTTGACAGTTCCGCTCATTCGCTGACGGTTACAACCTTATAGACCACTGCAAATCCCGAAACCATAATAACAAAATAAAAATGGTAATAAAAGACGATGCCCAAATTCAACAAAGTTAAGGCAGATTGGTAACTAGGACCTTGTGATCCAATGATATTTTTTTTTATTTTTCAAAACGAAAGATAAAAGTTGAAATTTTTAAACAGGGTGTATGTAAGTTTCTTAAGACAGACCGACAATCTCTCTCTCTCCACTGCTTTACGGAGTCTCTTTTATTATTACTTTTAAGCAAAGTAATACGGTGGCACGCTTTCTTTACGTAATCGAAAACTCTTTTGTGTCAAAGGAAAATGACAGTTGAGACTACATAATTTGTCGCTTTCAGAAACACTCCATTAGTTCTTGACCATTCTCATTAAATTTAACTATTATATTCCCAAAAAGAGAACCATCAAATAAAATAAATTATACGTGAAAAAAAAAAAGAAGGCACATAGAATAGCAAAAGGAGACAAAACTAAGATTCCTGTAAATAATAAATTACTTATAACTATATATTACTATTGATAAGAAAAAATATAAATCTACCCTACTCTCGATAAGATTAATTAGATTTCATTATCAAAATATAAATCTACCCTACTCTCGATAAGATTAATTAGATTTCATTATCAAGGATAATGAAATTAAATCTGACGTAGTTCAACAAGTAAGAATAATCCTATTATAACTGGAGGAAGTCAAAAAGATTAAATCATATCCCAACAAATCTGGTAATAAATCTCCTATGATTTCGCACAAGCGGAAGATAAGGTCAACCATCGACATCAGCAGAACGATTTTGATTCCAATCGACAGCCATAAATAGGGCATCAAGCCATTAAAGAAGGTACTACGTAAAAACAATTATTAATCCCTGTCTTCTTTTTAGACCTCCGTGGCTAATTTGATCGTCGGAGAGCTCTTGGCAGGCACCACACCGGTTCCGTCAAGGTTAATCGATCTTCTCCTCTCTTCCTTGCATAAAAACGGTATCGTATCGGATTGCACGAATTTCAACCTCAACAGTTGGCGCCGTCTGTGGGAATCACGATTCCCTTGAATCAATTAATTACTCGTTGGGTATATACGTTTGCAGTCCGGTATGGTTACCGAAGGAACACCGTCGCAGGGATCTGGTCAAAGGGTAGAGTCGGGTGAAAACCTGGACGTCCCAAACGACCAGGCACGGCTTGTAGCGTTGGAACTACAGGTTCAAACTCTGAGTCAGGGTATGAACCAGTTGATCCAGCAAAATGCAACGCTCTTGCAACACCTTGTTCCACCAGTTCAACAAAACTTTCCAGGATAAGATCTCTCAAGTCCAAACGGAGGTAATGGGAATCTTGAAGAAAGGGATAATCATTCCCTCCAAAATGAGACTGAAGTGGAACAAAACCAGGTGGGAACCCGACATAGAGAGGTGGTTCACCCATCTCTCCTACGGAGTTCCCGACCTCCTGAAAGCATAGCTTTCTGTCTTAAGGAAAAGACAAAGAAAGTTACCCATCTCGACTTGCAGATCAAGGATCTGAAAGGGAAAATGGAAGATGTAATGCAGGCTATGAAAGGGAAATGTCCTGCCGTTGTAGATGACCTGGTACAAAGGACCAGCTTGCCTTTCAGCCCCGCCGCTATGAAATGTCCACTACCTAGCAAGTTCAGGATGCCCTCGTTCGAAAGCTTCGATGGGACTAAAGATCCCCTCGATTACCTGGAAATTTTTCAAGCTCTTATGCATTTACACGCAGTGCCAGATGAAATCATGTGCCGAGCTTTTCCCACTACACTTAAGGGATCAGCGAGAGTTTGGTTCAACAAGTTGAAGCCAGGAACCATCAACACCTTCGAAGAATTGAGTAAGCAGTTTGTGAGCCACTTCATTACAGGTCAGAGGTATAGGAGGCCGGCTACCTACCTGTTTACCGTGGAGCAACAAAAGGAAGAGTCGATTCGGGAATACATCACCTGATTCAACGCAGAGATGTTGTAGGTAGAAGAGGCGGACGACAAGGTAGCTTTGACCGCTTTCATAGGAGGACTCCAAACCTCCAGATTCTTGTTCTCCTTATCAAAAGAACCTCCCACCAACATGATAGAGTTGCTGGTCAGAGCGCAAACACACATCAACGCTGAAGACACCATGAGTGCACGGAAGGAACGAGAGAACAAGAAGAGGCCAACCCCTCTCGCCAGGGATGAAAATAATACCAAATATAAGAAATCGTTCTTCAGCCAGAGTGACAACACTTATCATGAGAATGACTCAGATGAGTATACATACTAGAAATTGTCTCGCGATTGGAATTAGCCTTATCAAGTCATTCACAATAAAGACTGGGGGCATCTTAGTTAATCATTTTAAATGGAGGGTAGCTCCATCACGTGTTATTTTGTTTTTAATAATGATGGTCTTTAATATAATAAAATTCCTTTTAGTTTATACGTGCAGTATTCCCGTACTATAAGGGATAGTAAATGAGTGTCATGTATTACAAGGACCCGAGCTGAATGAATCCCGTAATCCGTATCCCCGTACTATAAGGGATAGTAAATGAGTGTCCTGTATTACAAGGACCCGGGCTGAATGAATCCCGTAATCCGTATCCCCGTACTATAAGGGATAGTAAACGAGTGTCCTATATTATAAGGACTCGGGCTGAATGAATCCCGTAATCCGTATCCCCGTACTACAAGGGAATAGTAAATGAGTGTCCTGTATTACAAGGACCCGGGTTGAATGAATCCCGTCATCCATATCCCTGGACTATAGGGGATAAGTATCTTGTATTATCAGGACCTGGGTTGAATGAATCTCGTAATCCATATCCCTGTAATATAAGGGATAATAAATGAATGTCCTGTACTACAAGGACCTGGGTTGGATGAATCCCATAATTAATATCTCCTTACAATAAGGGATAGTAAATAAAAATCCTTTATTAAAGAGGTGAGCTGAGTAAAACTCGTAAAGTTCAATTCCCTTACTAAAGGGACGAGCTGAGTAAAACTCGTAAAGTTCAATTCCCTTATTAAGGAATGAAACTCGTATAATTTATTCCCTTATAAAAGGAAGAATACTGTTCCCTCGGGTGCAAAAAAAAAAAAAAAAAAAAAAAAATTATTACTATTCATGAACAGTACCCGCGGTACTGTTCATGCACAGTACCCGAGGGTACTGTTCCCTCGGGTGCAAAAATAATAATAATAATAAAATATTATTACTATTCATGAACAGTAAAAAAAAAAAAAAAAAAAAAAAAAAAACCTGAGTTACTATTCACATGAATAGTGCCCGCGGGAATAGTACCTACGGGTACTGTTCACAGGGGTATTTAAAAAAAAAAAATTCCCTGAGTTACTATTTACGTGAATAGTACCCGCGAGTACTGTTCACCGGGGTTGACAAAAAAAAAAAAAAAAAAGAAAAGAAAAAGAAAAAATATTATTATTATTTATTACATTCCCAAAACTTGACGGGCA